TCGAGGGTCGTTTGATTCTGCCGTATACTCACACTAGGACATGTGCGCATGCTACACAGAAAAATAAACACTGAAAAGTACACACTAGTAGACCATCCCATCGTGATCTGCCTCCCATGGACCCAGGGGTGCAGGAGGTCAAACTAATATTCCACAGTTCATGTTTGACACACACAGGGTCGGAGCATGTGGGGTAAATCAGAGAACAAAATAATTCTAAAAATAAATAAATAAAAGGAGCTGGGTAGGTTATAGTGGTGGTCGGTTTTTGTTCGTAAAAGACCAACTACAATTACTGTGCAGTTGTTGCGTGCCTCTCCTGATTTATGCAGCTTCAGTCTACACACATTGTTTTTCCGGACTCACATTACATGTGAATATTGACTCTGAGGGAACTGCAACGTTTAAACGGCCAGCAACAATAACTGGGTCTAGACATTTATACGACTCAAATGAAACTGAGTCAATGCAAATTTGAGTTCTGTTGGTTGTATATTGTAAGATTGAAGACAAATTGGGTGGTTTTGGGGTCGTTCTGCAGGGATCTAATTCACATGAATGGATATATATGACAGGGGAATGTAAAGTGACAAAGGGTTACACAGAGGAGAATAAAACTAAAGCAAATGTTTACTTTGTCAATAACGAGAAATGAGAGCAAATTGATTTTCAGCATCTTAGTGAACAAAAACAAAAGAACCGATTTTAGCATCCGACAGTGTCCACTGAAGACGTTTTTGTACTTTTTAAGTCACATCACTTGCATGTGCCTCTTCCTCATTTCGTAATGTGTGCCGTCCCTGTCGCTCTCCGCGTGTTTGCATGTTCAACTCACATGCTGAAAATTATGGCGGGTGTAAAGTGAGTGAGCGCCGCATATCTCCCAGGGTTATTTGTATCGTAAATTCACAGGCTGCTAAAAGACAGGCACGGCTGGAATTCACACTTCAACCCTCACTTTCTCACAGACACAGCTCAGCATTGTGAAAATGAGTAGTGTGTCTGTGAGTCAGACGTGATGCTGTATGCACCAAAAATGTCAGTGGTCAAATGAAGAAATCAGTGACAAATGTTGCAGAAATGAAACTTTGACTAAAGCTTTTCCTCCTTTCATGTGGGCGGCTTTACTACTGTACTCATATCTAAGGCTTGTATTGGACCTGGGAAACTTTGTGCTGTTAAACTAGATGATTTATTGAATATTTATAACTGGGTTAAATGTCTGCCCAGGTTTTATCAATACACACCAGTGGTGTTATGAAAGTAGGGAGTGCAAGATCAAAATTAGTCCAGGATTAAATGATAAAGAACACACACGCTACTGTAGAAAACACTTCATATTTGACTCCCCCTGTGAGAAGTTCCCTGTTCCCAGGCCCCAGTGTGTACGTTTGGGGGGCAATAACTCATTAGGTCCCTTGACTTCCTCTTTCGGCTTGGAGCATTTTATGACCCACTCCTCTGCCATACAGCTGCTGTCTCCACTGCCTCTCTACACTCTGACTGGAATACAGGATGGAAGGTGAAGTGAAGAGAGGGGGAAGCAGCTGGGATGAGGTGGGAAACTTGGGATGAGGCGCTTTTTAATCACAGCATTCACAGCCAGACCACAGGTTTGGGGCATTTCCCATGCATTTTGCCACACAGTGTCATGGTTAGAATGTTTCTGTGGGAGGAGTTACACCCTAGACAGGTTGGCAGCTCACCCAGGACCAGAGATAACCAATCACAAACTCACCACTCAAGGGATGCAGAGCTGCATTGAAGACAAAACAGATAACACATGGGGTTTGCAGTGAAGTAATACTTCAGACTACAAGTACTATGAAAGGATAATTTAAGTTTTGCAGTGGTTACAAATACAGTATCTTCAGTACTATCATCTCTGCTTTTCTTTTCCTTAACGAACTGGTGCCCTGACTTTTCAGAATAGCCAACAGACACATGTTGGTTCATGTGAGAGCTGCAGCAGTGTTAGGCTCAAACCACTGCTTTCATTGGTCAAGACGTGTGATGACAGTGGTTCAATGCCAGTACTGATCATGGATTGTCAGTGTGTTGTGTTAAGAGCTATTTTTAACAAGGTAAGACAGATTGAGATCAAGACCTCTTTCACAAGGGTTACCTGGCCAAGAAAAGGTGGATGAACAATTATACCAGAACAAGTATGACAGAACAGACTTAAAAGATAGCTGGACATTCACTGGATATTATATATATATATATATATATAATATATGTGTGTGTGTATAAAATGGCAACACAATAAAAGAATTGTCAATATGATAATAATGTTTACATGCTCTGACAAAAACATATGCATTTTTTAAGGTTACGTTTTTGACTTCTATTCATCAGACAAGACAACATCTGGTGCAGATGGGCTAGGGGGCGCCACTCTCTATAGTTTTTTTCTTAAGAACAGGAATACTTAAATTTGCTTATCTCTGCATCTTTTTGCTTCCTGTCATGTGCTGTGGCTGAACCCCCCCCCCCCCCCCCCCCCCTCTCTTCTCCTGGTTTTTTTTGATTAAATGGCTAAAGCTCAAGGTTAAGGTCACATGGCTTTAAAGGCCTGTTTCTTTAAGACTACAAGAGTGTCAGGGGACATGTAGTGTGGGCGCACAGTCTTGTGGCTGCACCCAAGTCTTTGACAGCAAATTTAATCAAGATAGGCTGATGGGAGTTGTCAGGAGAACCGATGGTCCGTACTTCAACAGATACAGCGTAGCATGTATAAGACTCTGTGTGTTTAGGACATGCGCCATGTTCCTGGCCCCTGATCACATAAAGTATTTTAATCCAATCAGCTTTGTTTTCACATGACTGTCACACACTGATCGCTGCTATGGAAACCCTGCAGAGGAAGAAGAGAAAGTACTGGAGTGAGGGAGAGAGAGAGAGAGAGAGCTGCTCTGTCCTCCTAATCACTGTGACATTTAGACACAAACATTCACACACAGAGATTACACTCCTATTCTACACTCTCTCCTAATGTTTGTAATAAAAAAAAACAGATTCTCTCTGATAATGGACCACTGGATGAAACAGTTCATAGCAGTGGTCCCCAACTTTTTTTGTCAAGGACTAGTGCAGACCGGTAACACCACGCCATCGTTGAAGGATTATACATTTAAAAAACATCTTTTTGACTTTATTGTGTTAGTGTCAGAGTCTGAATGTTTTGAAACATCGCCAGATGTTAATAAAAAAAAGTAAAGGGAACTGAACTTTTTGAATGAAGTAAATTAGTAAAACATGTTCATCAGTAACAGGACACAGTGTTCACATCACTGTGTCCTGTTACTGATGACCTAAGGACCGGCATCGACCCCCGGACCAGGGTTTGGGGACCCCTGGTTTATAGGATAAACTATGTAGCTGCCTTGGTTAAATCATTCAAGAATATGTGAATTGAAGTTCACAGAATCAGGTTGTAGCTAAGTGATTTATGATTTGATTATTTCTCCATGTAGTTGTATTCACTTATTTTATAGTTTTTTTTTATATCAGGTTGTAGGGACGGTCTTTACAGATTACTGACCAGAATAGAGCGTGTGTTTAATAAAACTTCATGTACATCCTACAAACTGGCGCTGGTGTTTGTTGTTGCCCCTCTGACTGTCTGTCTGCCTTCAACCCAAGTCAGCTGAAAGTGGATCCAGTTTCCCTCATAACCCTGATTACACTACATAGTAGTGAGATAGATGTATCACCGTGTTTATTTTATCATTCTGAATCACACATTACTAGCAGGAAAAACTTCTAATTACTGTACATATCTTACCGGGAAACAGCACACAGTACAGTTGACATTTGACTCAAACCATTTTCTTGTGTTTGAAAAACAAGGTATTCACAACAGCCACGTTTACAAACAGAAGTTTATGAAAATAATTAAATTCAATGTATAGATATGTAATGTAACTGTGTTTTTTCAGTTTAAAACCTTTGTGTACTGTATGGGTTTGAACATGTGTCCCATACAGCTCTGATAATTGATTGTCAGCATATAATAGACTTCACACTAATAAAAGAATGAGGCAGGGTCTGTTCATGTGGAGACTAAAAGAACAAATGAATTCTGCAACAGGTTTGGCAGTCACTGGTGTACTGACTGACAACGGCTTTAAACAGACTTGACAGTTTATCTTTTCTCTCTTGCAGCTGACGAGCCAACAAATGCATCACTTCTGCATGTGTGCACAGACACGAAGTGACAAGTCGTAATTAATAACAGATACTGTAAAACGGGAACTTATTATTTGTAAGAACATCCGGCGTATCGAATTTTGTGTTTTCATGGAGAAAAACAGAGAAAAAAACCCATATGATAAGAACTATAGCCACATTTTATAATAATACCCACTTCCTCCTGGGGTGAAAAGGTGACTCTGTGCCCTGTGGTTTGTTTCCGACATGCCATTATCTGCTGCTGCTGAGCTTCTTCTCTGACGTTTCCGGTTCTGCCTCGAGTTAAAACTTCAAACAATTGCTCTCCTAGTGCTAACAGGACCAGCATCACTTACATTTCTGTTTAGGTGTACCAGAAATCTGCGTCAGCGGCGTCAGAAAGTGGCGTTCATGTAACTTGCGCTGTTAAAAGGGCGTAACAAACAGTTTACCGTCAGCTGCAGCGAATGGAGGCTAACGAGTAATAATGCGAGTACTCTCCCTGCTGGCCAGACAGACGCACACACTTTTTGACCACTACGAAGAGAATGCATCTTACTATGAACAATAATTAATAAATAACTAAAATAATAATTAATAAATAATTATAAATATTTTTTACTGTAACTGTATTACCAGTTTTCATAGCTTCTGTTTTTGTCACAAGGAACAAGCACTGGTATTAAAAATAGAATAATAATAGATGTGTTTCGTTTTTTTTACATTTTATGAAGAACACGGAGGAACATTTTATGACAAGATAACTGATAATAAGAATTGATAAATGAGTTACTGGCAGATCATCATGTCAAAGAAAAAGGCACTCAAACTGTACCAAATAATTTTTATTTATTAATGACAGACAAAACAGAAAAAAAGAAATGCATCTCAGCTGTGGCCTACAGTCTGTAGTCACACTAAAACTGAATGTACAGGAGCGTAAACATAAAACAAAATTTAAAAAAAAGACCTCAACACAAATCATATTTTCTTCACAAAGGTCTGACAGAAAGGTGCCGGTCCACAGTCAGCCTGCAGGAGAACTTGAAGGGAGCCTGGATCCACGGTGCCAGCAACAATGACAAGTATGCGAGTTGAATTAAATACAGTATCAGTTTCAATATTATGCATTTCCCCAATTCTGTCACTTTCTGTCTATGTCGGTGACCGACACTAAACCTTATTAGTAGACCCTCAAAAACACTACCAAGGAAAATTGAAATGACGTTTTATTTTGTGTGAGCCGTGGTAGTTAAATTATTGCCACTTTTTTTGAGTGTAGCTTGTACTATTTAAGAACAATGTGATTTCAAGGGACGAACATTTATGATGTGCTTCAGATAAAAATATTGTTTTTCTCTCTTTCCTGAATTTATAGGAAAAATCAAACAAGGCTAAAGCAGTCACTCTTGGTACAGAGAGGACACACATTTACCCAGGAACTGCTTTTGAACACAAGGTAAATAATACAATGTCAATAATAAAACTATATGTATTGATATCACCTGTATTCATATTACATGTCAGTGGAGGTGAGTTTACGATGGTTTATCTGGAAAAGTCTTAATAAGAGCAGGGATCCTGTTTCTGGAGGTCGTCGACAGCTTTTCTCATCATCTGTCGACTTTGAAATCTTCATTTCTTCGTCTTCTTTTTTCTTCTTCTTCATCCTCAGAGCCACCAAAAGCGTACATAGACGATAAACATGATGAAAAAGACACCGCCAGCTGCCAGCTTGGCATAAGTGGAGCGGGTATTCAGATACTTGGCGTCGCTCCTGTACTTTTTTGACATGGTGGACAAGTTGGTGGCCTTGGAGTCGAGCACTGGAAGGAGTAGAGAGCAGAGGGAGGCAGCAGTGAGGAATTAGAATGACATAAGCACTTTGAATCAGAGGCACTGTTCAGACCTGGAATAAATATCTATGCTGACCATAGACTGTAACTAAGAAAAGGATGGAGCCACCTCCATCTGCACACTGTGGTTCCAAGGAGGAGGGACGCAGAGAGTTGTGGATAAACATGAATACAAGTTCATGTCAGTGAGGCTCCTTCTGTGTAGTTATAATAATAAACAATCTTTTAGTCTCAAACACAAGGTGTTGGTCTTTTTTAATTTAACACGATATCTTTATCTTATAAATGATGATGCTGTTTAAAGAGCACTGAATGTCCCACAGAAGCATGGATCCAAATCCAAAGAGAGAGGCCAAGAGCTGTTCACAGATAACTCACCAGAGAGCGCCTCCCCTCTCTGCAGCACCTCCTCTATGTTTGCCACCATGATCCTCTGGACGTCCTGCAGCTCAGTGTTGATGCTCCCCAGATTCCTTCTTGCTCGACTGTCGATGTAAGACTTCTTGGTTTTTTGGATGTAGGTGTCTGATGAGGAGGAGATCAGAGGAGGGAGAAACCTGTTAGAAGACCTGTGGACGATTCTCACTATGGATTCTCTAGCTAGTTGATTAATCATATACAAGACAGTTAATCTGTTGATCAGTTAATCATTTTCAAAACAGCAATCTTTGGGAACAAATCAAGACAGTTTGGGGTCCTGACAGAGCAGCTGATATCCTCCGCCAGCTTTTCTGTTTTCATAGACTAAAGTCATGAACCCTGCAACACTCCGTGGTCCAAAAACATGTCCCAGCAACCAGGAATGTAATAAAAGTGGATTGATTAATTTTATACAGCAGACAAAAAAAACAGTATCTACATACTTGTATCTTATTTTGTCTCATCGCTGCTCGGATCGGAGATGCAAAAATGCTTTTTTGTTTTTGTTTTATGACACTGAAATTAATTCTCTCCTCTCCATTCTTCTCTGAACATACTGTAGGTCATATTGTAAATCATATTGTAGAACAGTTCTCAAACTGTGGTGTGCGTACCACCAGTGGTACACAAGCGCTCTCCAGTAGTATGCAGGGAAAATTCACATTTTCACATTTACATTTTCAATTGAATAAATCTGAAACATCCCATGCACAATTACTACAACATTTAAACATAAACGTCTTAAACATTTCTAAACATCTCTCCTGTGTGGTGGTAGCTAACAGGGAAGGCCTATGCTGCTATATCATGGTGGTACTCAGAGAGCTCAGTGTTTTCTCAGGTGGTACAGAGTAGAAAAAGTTTGAGAACCACTGCTGTAGAACATACGTGAAGACCTGTTGCCGTACATACGTCTGTGATTCCTCCGTCTGCTTTGTTCTTACCAAACTCAATGAAGGAGTACGGCCTGGAAACTGTGGAGACCCTCTTTCCGTGCTGCTCGTGAAACTCCGCCTGCAGGTCCTCCAGGTAGGCAAAAGCCAGCTTCTTGGGAAAGCTGGACTCACACAGCACGAGGTAGCACACTCCCTGTTCTATTAAATAGCTGCGAGTGGAATAAAGAAGTAAGAAAGTGTGTTTATAGTTATTAGAGAAACACTCTGACATAGCTGTATAAAATGAGAGATCCAGGCCACACTGGGAACACTGGTGGTCAGTGGTGGTCATCTGTTGTCTGTACAGCAGCATCAAACTCACTGAAATGCCATAGAACCAGCCTCTAAGGTGCAACGTGTAGGACTCTGGTCATTGAGTTTCCTGAAGAGCTGCTTTGCTTGACTTTGATACTGCTGAAGATCTCGACCCAACTGAAAAAAAAAGATAGATTACATATTCAGATGTTTGACAGAACAGACAATAGACCTACTGTTTGTGTGATGCTTATTGTGACAATAGAGACAAATGACTGTTAAGAATAAACCATTAATATTTCGCATTTTTGTCACAAGGAATTTTTGGATTCTTTAGACAACCATGACAACATTCTTGGTTATCTAAAGCCTCATAGAAACACGTCATGTACAGATGCACAGAGAGGACGCACAACAAACCTTTTCGCTTCCCTTTTTGAGAGCAAACAAAAGAGTGGAGAAAAACACTCAGATTATATTCGGTTAATATGAAAAAGAGAAATTAATCATTAAAAAATGCACAGATAACACATTTCTATACACATTTTGTCTTTTTTTGGCAATGTGATACGGTTGATACCCTTTCAACCTAAGCTAAGATTTCTGACCTGCTCATTCCATCTAACATAGAGGAAGTGGGCCCACAGCTTCTCCTTGGCCCCCCCATCTCTGGAAATCCCTTGAAAACACATCTGTGGCTAATGCAACTGAGAGTCAACAAAACTAATGACTATCCTATTTATGCAAATTGTTTGGTTCTATTTGCTGCACTGTCAGGTGACCTGGGGTGTTCTGAAAGACATCTATGAGTATGTATATATACAGTATATATAGTATGAGCATCTATGAATTTTTATAATATATTTTTTATTGCTATTTTTGTTCTTCTTGTTCTTAATAATAATTATTATTATTATTATATCCACAACTGTGACAATGCAGTTAGTGCTCATTCTGATGTTAGGTTATTTTGATTAAGGTAACACATTATATACTTACATATATATGAAAAACGATTTTTTTATCGTTTTACAATTAAAAGCCCCTGTGCTACTAATGTTAATATGAAAATATTAATATTATACCCCATTACGCCATTTTCCAGTTCCTAATTCTGCAAACCCGTTGCAGAGCAGCATTTGAATATGACTAGGCAGTTTAAACCGGATTACTATTGGTTTATTAAAAGAATCTTGTTGTCATCTTATTATTAACATTTCTGGTAAATGTGTTTAACCATTGCATGTTTACCGCAGTACTTGCACTATGGATCTTATTTTGCATAATAATGACATATCGTCACATTTCGACTACAGAGGCTGGACCTAACTTGATACAGAATTAGGTAATGCAGATTGCATGGCAGAGCCTTATCAGCCTAACGTCTCAATCGTTTTTAAATCTATTTTTACTCATGTCCCAGAGCAGCAACGCCCACTGCTGAGGTGGAATGTTCGGTTTTTCCGAGTCATACATCTGGATGAAAATCTAGTTTCACAGCTGGTTACCGTTGGTTGCTATTGTAGGCTAACGTGTCATTGTTAGCAGCCTTTAATACAACAACAGTGGGCTGAACTGAGGGCATAGAGTTAGGAAGCAGCACATTAAATGTGATATTCAAACCTGTTCGTCCTCCTGCATTGAAGCGGCCAGTGGCAGGCCGTCGGCCAGCCGAGCGATCATCGTCAGCAGAACCATGGCCCACGGAGATTCGTCTTCACACCACCCAGGTAAAAGTTTCGGGTGACGCGTCCAGGGTTTGACAGACTGTGAAGTGACAACAGCACAGAGCTGACGCTGAGCTGGCCGGAAACGATGCAGCTCGGTGTGTTACACCTAAATCCTTCCGTCACCTGAATGTGCGGAACTAAACGGTGCTGCTAAAGCTGCGTTGTTATCTTGATTATTTTAAATAATTTAAAATGTGATTCAATAAGAATAGGAATTGTAACTTTAAAGATGATATAATTAAATAAAAAACTGGTTTTTGGTGTTACAAAAGCTTACATACTACTGTAGACAAAACCGCCAAATTGATTCCCTCAGTCTTATCATTTAAATCATTTGAAAAAATGTAATACTTGTAAATACTTAAATATATTGTCAACCACAAAGGCAATTCTTTAACGAATTGCTATTATTTTGAAATACAAAAGAAAATCCGTGTGCAATGACCAAATGTCATATGCTCGTTCGTGGGAACAGTTGGAACGCAGCGACCTGGGCAGCAATGTTCACAGTGAGACGGCAGATGGCGGCAAATACTCTCCACGTTCTTTACTATTGGCTTATTTTATATTTTTATAAAATAAAATAAAAAATTAAATTGTAAAGCAGTTTATTAGACACTACAGCATGGTCATGTGTCGTTTAGACCACAGCAGCTGCAGCTGCCTTGCAGTTGAACTAATAGATATTACTATTATGTTGTTATGGTAATGTGGTACATCTTTTCCAGCAGGAAAGATATATCCTCAGGGTTAAACAAATCGTATTTAAGAAGACTAAACAAATTTGGTTAGTCTTTTAAACGTAGTTAGTTTTGCATGTATGTAGCCTAAATGCAATTTTTATTGTGGGGGAAGAGACTTATAAGTCAAAAATTATTTACCAATATTTTATATTTTCTTCCCTTTATATTTAATCTGTTTGGAGATTTACAGTAGATTCGTAAAGCAAAACAGTTAAACAAGTAAAACATTTAACACGTTGATAAATACAAAAATGATGAAATCAACAGCAATGTTATTGTATCAAAATCATAAATTGACTGTCCAGAAAAAAAGGAAACTTCTAAATCCATTATCATATACAGTGGCAAATGCTTCCTTTAAAATAAAATAAAAAAGTAACAAGTCTGGTTGGACACAAATGCAGGATACCAGGAAAGAGTTAAAAAGTATTTAATTTTCATAAATCACAATGACAAAATATGGAGTTGGGAAAATGCAGCGAATAAGATACAAATTCAACAGGCTAAATGAACTGGCCTTAAGATAAACACAGATAACAACATGGTTCACTCACAAGATGGAAAAACACACCTGCAAAGAGGAGTGGGAGGAGACAAGTACATACATAGGACAGGGGAGAAGGTAGGTAAACACAGGGGAGGAAGGTGAGGCATACACCCTGGAGGGACACTCACGTAACTATGGTAAGTGGACGTCACAAAAACAACACAACAGATCACCATCAATTATTAATACAAACAATATCTTTAGTAAAAGGATAATGTGAAGCTGAAAATATGTAATAGCTATTGAAACAAAACAAAAACCTTGAACATGGAGAGAAAACCAAAAAGCATCTTAGGCTATTTGTAAATATTTATTAGATCACAAAGCACAGAAAATCCAATAACTAAATTCCCTCCAGGTATTAAGACATACAAAACATAGTTGTGTGTTCAATTTAAACTTTTTTTTTTAAGTATACTTCTCTTCAGCTATAAAAATGTGAAAAGGCTGAAACCATAGAGATGTCAAGCCACATCACATCCCTGCACAAAGATGATATTTGCCCATGTTCCTGATTTCATTGTTCATCTCACACAGTACAGGATAGTAATACTGCTCTTATGTGGCAGGCCATGTCTACAATTTCAGCAATTGTTCACGTTGTACATGTTCAAGTAATAAAAAATGTTGTACTAACATGTTACAAAGTGTGTTATAAACATTTGAAAAATAATACATACCAAAGAATAAGAATTACTACGAGAAAAAAAAAGTTTTTAATCACGTGAAGACCTGTCACATGAATTACTTGATTACATGATTTATTAACGACCATTTCAGAGAAACTCAAATGGTTTCTCTCTAATGGTATATTAAAGTATATATGTAACTATGGGTTGTGTGTGAATGCCTGAATCAGTCAGTAACTGTTCCCTCAGTTTTTAGAAAAAAGGCTGTGGTATTTCTGTGCGATGGCCAGAGCCTGATCAACGGGACATGGCATCACGGGCAGTCGAGGAGGCCCCAGAGAGAGGCCTGACACTTCATTCATGAGCTGCTTGTTGACACCAAGGTCAAAACCTGAAACACAATTAAAAAAAAACGTGAATGTTTAAGAATTCCCTCATTCCCTACATTCATTTGTCCTACATACTGGATAAAACTGTCAAGAAAACATGATAGTTAGGCAAAAACTCACCAAGTTTCTTGGCATAACTGAGAAGCTCTTGGATCTTGAACTGCTCATGGGAATAAGAAGAAGAGACACCAGTGAACACAACTAAAGCCAGCAGGACAGCTGAGACGGTCATCAGGATGGTGGACAGTACCTGTATTGTTCTGGCCTGAATGATGTCCCCATGGTCAAATGCCGACATGAGCTCATTGACATGATACCCCACGTAGTTGTATGTGCTGAGGACAAAGAAGTCATAACCACTTAAACCCTGCTCAAATTCAGCATTAAGAATTTTAAAATATGAGACATGATGAAAGTATTTTTGCTCTGATATAATCATTACACAATATATGATAATATTACATGAAGAACTGCCTAAATAAAAGACAACCCAGTTGATTTTAAACCACAGAAAAGGGTTACACCTTTAATGACCGTCTGGAAAGGAAGTGATGACTTATAATGACTCAGTGTTTTGAGATGTCATAACTTGTCATAAACCATAAAATAGCTTCACATTATGTGAGCTTTTAACATATATTGATATATTTTTATACCTCATTTATATCAAAGTATCTGTCCTGCTCTAAAATGACATTCAATCTGATTTATAAAACTGTTTTTGCGTCTGTCTTCAACTTCACTCTGCTCAGCCTCTCCCTCGCTCTATTTGCTCTGCTCACACCCCTCACTGAGAAACAACAAATGCAGGGCAAGATGCTGGTCATTTACAGGAGAGGAGAAAACGTTAGACGTTAAAGTTACTGTCCAAGTTATTTGTTTGTAGTTTGGCTTTAGTGTTTCAGATAAGCATCAAAAAAACATGTTATTTAGGGAACACCAGAATCCATTTTGGAACCAAAAACTCAATCCACTACACGTCTCTTCCACTGCTTGCAACAGTACCATAAAAGAGAGATTATTGGAGTGGGTGTGAGAGACAAATGAAAGAGATGATTGGGAATGTAGAGCATGAGTCACTTGAGGCTTTTCTTGTTATATTTGTTCAATAAAACACCTTAATGTGCACTCTTGACTTTTGCTCTCCTTCATGCAGGAGGTGGCATTACAATATGAATTACGCAGTCATCGTTTACTGCCCTATAACTTTTTGAGGTTTTAGACAAAAAAGCTTATTTATTTGTTAATAAATAAACATTAATACTTATAGAGAATACTAATACAGACTCTAAAATGTGCCACACACTCACAATCATCATAAAAGAAGCAAAACGAGACTAAAAATAATTAACTAATATTATTGAACAGGTTCTTCAATTAGCATTACAGCTGTTCATTTAAAATGTGTTCCTCCTTTCAACAGCAACTGTTTAAACTGACAGTGCGTGTTAAGTCTGTGTGAAGGCCAAGGGCAAAAACATTGTCTGATGGAAGAATTTTAACAACTTGGTAATGAATGTGTTCCACTGTGAAATCAGACTTCGACTGTTCTTGACTGGCCTGCCAGCTAACCTGTTCTGTCTCTGAAAGTCTTTGGCTTCAGATGTAATTATGTACTGTCGGGATCACACAAAGCAAGAATGGGAACATTTGCATTACAGAAAACAATCTGTCCTTTGTCTTTTTAACCCGTATAGAAGTTCCTTAGTTAATTAAAAATTAAAGAATACATTACTGTAGTGTTTTTTACTTGATATAACACAGTGCTGATGTTTGTATTGTTAGCAGCAACTTTATATTGAGCAATTTTCTTCCTTTTGTTAGGGTGAGAACTCTTTTTTTCTTTTTTCAGTGTTTTTATTAACACACACACACACACACACACACACACATATTCTTAAGACAACCGGTCTAGTATAAAGAGATGCTGACCTGCCGACTGCTCCATGGGCTCCCATTGCCAGGGCTGCTAACAGTTGCTGTAAACACATGTATAGTAATATCCATTATGTACTGTCAGAGTTAGTTCTCATAAATGCTTCTGTACACTGTCAGAAATACAATATGAAAACTGAAGTAGGAGCGACAACTGACCTCGTCCACACCGTAAAGCGCTGACCAGTGGGGCTGACAGTAGCTGACACACTGGCCAAAGTCCATGAGATCATTACCAGAGAACTTGACTCCTCTGAAGAATGGAATGAGTTCCTCAATATTCTCCAAAACATCCCTCGCTGGCACTTTTTAAAGAAGAGACCGCATCACGTTAGATGAGCCCGTTGTGAAAACATCTGTCAAGAGTTTTATCTTCCGTGAAAATACAAACACCAGTAAACAGCAGGTCATTAGTACTTACTATTAACACCTGTGACTGCTGGGATGTGGTAGTAATAGAAAGGCAAGGTGGGAGCAACTGAAGACACTTGGTAAAGAAATGTCCTCAGAGCGTCTGATGTGGGGTGAAAAAGAGAAGGATGTTATTAAAAGTGAATTGTTTGGCTTTTAAAATATCATCGTAACAGCGTTTCACTGGTGGAGATCATTAAGACTAGACTTGTTTTTTCACAAACTTGAATGTCTTCATTTTCAACATTGTCCATGTCGAAGAAAAGCATTCAATGTCTCAGAGAATTGAGTTCACTCTGTTCACATGAACAGACAGAGTGGGCCCGGGTCACAGCGTAATGGCAGCCCACTGTGTTTCCCACAGTGTACATCTTGTTCTCCTAGTAGCTGCTACCATCAACAAGGAACACTTCTAACAGCTTCACCTTTCTGTACTAATTTCACAGGACGTGTCTTTGTAACAGTGACAGCCCCGTCTTCGTTGTTATGATGGTGTGTGCGGGCTAAGAGCATAAAGATTGTGGAATGATCCAGAACAGGCTTGAACAGGCTAGTCTTGAAAACCTCTGAATCCAGTTTAGAAGGGATACAGTTCCATCAACAGTTCTCTGAGTGATACTTTCTTCTGGCTGACAGATTTGCATGCATGTTAAAAAAAACAGGTTTTTATTTAAATTAACATAAATTATAGACAAATTGTCTCGTACAAATATCATGCTTTACGCTTCTTTAGATAATCGTATCTTACATACCTGCAGTACTAGGCTTGAAGAAAGAAGGAGAAATGACTGCGATGCCATCAGCCTCTATCTGGACTGCATGACGAGCCTGGACACAGGAAAAGAATTACCTGAAACTTCACACTTGTTTATACCAAAACTATTACAATTCATTTAAAGTCCAGTTATCCTTTGATAATTATAGCCTACGTTTTTAAATTAGATTAGATCAGATTAAACATTAAAAAATGGTTGTGTTGCAGCAACACAGAAAATAAAAACAAGGTCTTGTAAATGCAAATATATACAGTGCAGAATAATATATTATGATTATTATTATATTATTATTTTAAGAACACACCAAAGGCAACAACTCACCAGTTCTTTGGAATCTGTCAGACTCATACAGCCGACATGTATAATCACCTGGTCCATCCTATGAAATTGAAAACGTATAAACAAACAACAAACAAAAAAACTGGTCCAGATTTGGTTTGTTCCAGTTGTTAAAACGTACTTTCCCTTGGCTTTTCGACACCACTCCTCAGCCAGGTCCTTTCTCTCTGCCACACTGAGAGACATGCTCTCTCCGGTGGTGCCATTTACTGTAAACAGAAAGGATTTTGTCTTATACACCAGGTATTGTTTTTTCTTCACCTTACACGACTAATGGTCAATAACAAAGCTTACTCATGCTGACTGTTATGTTTGTTTAACAAATCAACACTCACAAAACTAGAAAACAATATATTACAAACTCTATGACAACCAGGAAAAACAAATCAAAGAAGGTGTTTATTTCCAAAGTAAAAAAAAAATCATCAACTGCCTGACCTGTACATAACCAAGATCAGCCTACCTGACAGCACCAAACCTGTATTGGTGGGGCCCATTCATACAGGGATCCACCACCAGGAGGGCTGAGTGTGCAATCATTAACAGATCAACACATTCAATGGCACAGGGAATTAAACAGTGTGACTACAGAAGAAGAAAGACCAAACACAGACATTCTTTGCGTAGTACAGTCAGACAAAGACAATGGTAAGACGTCAGTGTGATGTTCATTGGTGTTAAATGAACTGTAAACAATCAGGAATCATATTTGACAGCAGACAGAGATTAGCATTGATTAACAATAATGACAACAAACATTTCACATCTAAAAGTTATTTCATTAAGGTTGATGGGTATTTTTTTATATGTGGAAATCTTGTTTATCCATAAAGGCCAAAAATATGTGTGTTAAAAGAGTCTAATAAGTTTACTGTTACTTAAGATAGATAGAAGATACAATTTTTCTTTTTAATGATTGCTTCTGTTTTCGATCTTTTGTCACACCTTCATGTGTCAGATCATCATACAAATATCAGACGAAAAACTGAAAAACTAAACTAAACTGGCAGAAACAACTGGGATTAAGCTGCTATCTTAGGAATTCTATGTATTCCCAGAATTAATACATTTCAGCTTCACTGACCACCCTCCCAGGGACGCGTCTCAACATGTTAATCAGATTCAAGTACAGACTCTGAGAAGGCCACTCGAAAAACCTTCATTTTGTTATTTGTAAGACCTTGCTGATGTTCCGCGGGTTATTTTCCTGCTTTATAATCCAGGAGCACCTCAGTTTAAGGTCACAAACTGAACATTTGCTTTGGCCCTAAAGCAGCCAAAAAAACAACTTGCACTACCTACGTGTTTGAATCTCCATACAATATTCTTTTCTTTGAAATGTGTGCCCTGGTACAAAGTTACACCTTCCAAACGTTTGTCTTGTTAGTCAAAATACTTTATACTAAATACTATTTTTTCTTTCTTTCTTTCTATTTTGTCTTCAAAGTTGACCAATACTGACGCAATCAAGGTGGGGAGTACTTTTATTAACTACTTTGATGAGTTGTCAATACCGTAGCTGTAATTTAGGTGGGGCTGCCATTTTTAGTCTGTTTTTGAAAAATGTCTCTGGTTTAAAAGAATTAATAGAAATGGTGTTCTGGCACATGTTAGTTGGACAAAAAAAAAAAAAAAAAAAAAAACCCAAAACAAATTAGTACTTCCTATTTTTTCAGGCCTATATAATATGTACTTAAATTCTCTATTCTATACAGTTCTAATATAATTAATTATAATATTTATAATAATTTATTAATTATAATAATTATATAAATAAGTTAAGTTAAAAGCACTCACATCTCTGTGAATTTCCTAATAAAAATTGACAAAATAACTGATAATCTAATTGTTTGATAAGCATTTCTTCAGGTGGTCTTTTAAGTCAAGGTAAAGGCAAAGGTTTTTAGAGATGGTAATGTTACCTTCTGAAGGTTGGTTAAATAGCTCATAAAATAATGAGCTAATAAATAAAACGCCAGTGCAACAAGGTTTTTATGATGGAAATTGAACGAGGGAAAGACTTTCCATCATTACTACAGGTTATAATTAAAGCAGGGTTTTTTTGTTCGTTTTTTTACCTCAGTGTAGTCCCTGCCTGGGAGCTAGAACTGTTTAAGTGTTCAAGAACTATAAGAGCCTGCAGAACATACATTTAAAAACTGCTGAACTGAACTGAATTTTTTTTTTACAGTCATCGAGGTAAATGTGATAGCTGCAAATAATTTGTCCTGTTTATAATTAGATTATTTTCTTAATAGTTAATTACTTAATGAACTACGTCACTCAGTAACAGGAGTGCTTGAGGTAAACAAAAACAGAAGATGAGATATAAGCACAGCACAGACCAGTTGTTTGTGTTTTACAGTAACATATATGGCTTTTTGTTTTGATGCTAAATGGACAAGAACACTAAAAACCTGTTATATATTATGGATATTTAGCATAGATGTACAGTTTGCAAAATACAATTAAAAGATGCTAAGATTATATCATGCACTTTTAAAGATTGTTTCCAGACAAACTAATGTCTGTATGTTAAACAGTAGGTCACAAACAACAATGAAAAAAAGAAGTTATTTTAATATATCATATTATCATTGTTAATATTGTTAATGTGGGGCAAATAGCAAAGAAAGTGTGAATAACACAAAATGTCCTTATTTTATTTTTATTAATATTGAGAGGTAAGTGCTAGAATGGGATTTCATTTTATCTTCTTAAAATTATTCAATAACAATGGTTATTAAAATTGGTGTCTACAAACCAACTATCTTGAAATATGAAACAAAGATTCAGGTGCGAACACAGAAAATCACACATATCAGAGGAAGAATCCACATGATAACTTACCAAATATGTTATTTACACCTTGCTTCTCTGTCAAGTAGTCAATATAAGGTCCAATCTCTGCTAGGTTGATTTCACTGTTTTGGGAAAATGTAAAAAGAGTAGGGCCACACATTTGGCAAAAAGAATACCAAACATGCTAGAGTACTCCATATCTAAGTGGAGTGGGAGTGGCCAAATATCTCAAATTTCTCCACACTCATTCAAAGGAGTTACATCAAGAGTAACTGGACTGGTAGATTTTCTGAAAACACTCATTCCTCACTTTTTACAGGGGAACTGAACAAGAATCACAACCACACATCACAAACTAAGCAGAAATACAGACAGAAGAAAAAGAAGAAGAAGAAGCTTACCCTTGTGTGGTGAACGGGGTAAATGTAGCAGCAACCAGTCCCGTCAGCTTTTTGTCTAGAGCCGGAGCCATGACTAATATGACCAACCTGTCATGCACACATAGGTCGGACAGCACCAACCAAAAACACAAAAAGGAAAGATTAGCATTTCAGGGACTTGTGGGCCTGACAGATAAACCATACTCATGTACTTTTCTGCCACAATTTAGTAATTGTTACTTCTTATTTTAAAATCCAGTTCTTGCATTTTCTCTGTGCATCCAAAGGTTTGCATAACTACATGCAGGTATTAATTGTGAACATGTAAAAGTGAGAAAATACATAAAAAAAAATCTAAAACCAAATTGCAGTACTATTGTATGTATAAATTTCAAACAAGATTACATTGGGTTTGATAAGATAAGCAGGAAAGACAGAAAAACAAGACACATTCAATAAGTTGCAAAATGTAATAAAGGAAACAACAATATCTCGGCATACTAACTTACAATAAAGTGTTCTTGGTGTGTTGGTGTATTAGTGTAGCCAATACAACAAAAATATATCACGGACATGCTTGAGGCGGATACGTTTATTCATCACACTTAAAGCTATTCAGAAATAATGTACGTAAGAGGCTTGCAACCTAAATTATTTTCAAAATATGATCATTATAGCAATTAAACACAGTAATCATAAAAATAATACCTGAAATTAAGCTAGACCTTTAATCAAATATTCGGAGAAACCCTAGTCAAGACAATCGCAGTAACTATTATGTTTTCTTTATGTTGATCTGACTTTGCCCCTGTCAGCACTTTATTTTCCTTCCTGGTATGGAAAGTGTGGCTGCCATTTTCACACTTTCACCTAAATCTAAATTAACTATATAACCTTAGTGATTAGATATTTTTGACATCGAATTTATAACGTTCGCTAATAACAACAGCAAACTAACTTCTATTGCTACCCATATTAAAAATAAAGTTACAAGCGAGTTTACGTTACGAGCAAGTTTACATACCGTCTTATATTGCGTGACAGAAAAGAATGGAACAAACATACGCAAACGCTGTGTTACCTTTTAAACAATTATTTTGCTTCCGAAAAGCGATATCCAACCTGAACGTTGCGTCACGCAGGTAAATGTTACTACGGACGAACATAAAAAGGTTACGAGGAGTTAGAGTAAACAAACAATTGGATATACTATTGTGAAAACATTATGATTTAAAAATTCACAGAATAGTTCAATACCTGAGAGTTTTCTTATGCTTCTTTGCGTCATTTATATCAAGTCTGTCATGGCGAAAGCGTGTCAACTGGCTTCAACTGGTTTCTTCTTTTTTTTCCATCGAGATTTTGTTGATGTACTTTGTCATGTGGGTGAAACAGTGTGTCAAGTGACGCCGCAAAGCTTCATGGGAAATGTAGGTCTATTAACCGATGTGTCGGCAAACGAAGAGCACTCCAAATTTCTAACAGTTTAGTAAATTAATATAATGGTCATTTAATCACAGTAAATATTTAATTAACATATAATTAACTTCTAACAAGTGAATTAAATTAAATTAGATTTCATTTGTGACACCTGGAACTGGCTTTCCTGTAAAACGAAATATGATTATGATTAGAAAAATAGGTATAACTATAAAACTGCAACTGTTGGTCAGTTGTAATATGCACTTGTGCATATGCAATTTTTAATTAACTGTTTTATTAACTAATTGTTGTTCCTCTCGTTACATATACACACAATACACTTTTGATGTAAATATAGGAACGACAAAACAGACCAGTTAGGTTTACAGTGAGGTAGTAAGTCATAAGATGCAAAACTAAAGCCCTGAATAGGTGTTAGCAGGGTTAGCCTAGCCTAGCCTTGCCATGGCGCAGACTGGTAATTGTACTTTACAAATTTGTTCCTTATTATCAACGCCTTCTTTGGACCTGTGCACCCTGTAACATTCAGAAGGGTCTGTAATGATGTCGATTTTTAGGTCGCGTATATAATCAACTCGATGCTAAATGTATTAGTTATTTCTTGTTATGAGGTTTTGAATGAATTTAGAAATATATTAGTATTAAACAGTGTTGCGTTAGTACCCGTGGAACCCTGTTTTTAAATATTGACCTAGCACCACCCACAGGCGAGAGGAGTGGCGCTATAACTGATTAAAACTCTTTATTTGCCCTTTAAATGTAATTCCCTTTAAAACCAACAGATGGCGGCAGAGCACAGGGCAAGCGTTAACGCCAAGAGGATATTTGAACATTTTGCAATAATGATTAAAAATAACTTGGATGTTGTTGCTAACTGACTGCAATTTTTACCATATCGTGTTTAGTTCTTATCCAATTACTCTTTCGGGTAGTAGTAGTAATTGAACTGCATTTATCCGTCTGGAAATGAATTTCAAGCTTGTAACTGTTAATGTCTGTGCTTGTTCTAAAATTGACTCTGAATACTGTTTATATTATGTCTTTTCTTCCCTTTTGTTAAAAAAGTAGCTTCTTAGATGATGTGGTGTTAATGCTGCTGCCTTACAGCAAAGAACCAGTGATGCAGATGCAGAGTGCAAAATGGAGAGGTTTTTTTTAATGCAAAATATAGACATAAAGAGCCACCAACACTATTTATATCATGTGTAAATTCACACTGCAGGGTATATGGGAATCCTTATATAACACTGTGGAAAGATTACTAGACATAAAGTTTTTAACCCTCTTTATCCTACCTAATGCACCTTCGTCTATTTGACAAATAACCATTTACATACACATAGAATAATATAAACAATATAGAAAACAGCAATAAATAAATATGTCATTGAAGTCGCAAAATTATAAACCAACAAATTACTTAACAATGCAATGGACCACAGGTAGATTTGTACACTATCAATATTTAGAAAGATTACTACCCACTCAGGAAATACATAATGACTATGACTTGATCTCACTGTGGGGAGATGATCTTATATCCTTGATGTTAAGATATTGTAAATACATTTATTCAATCTTTACAATATATTCATTGTATTAAGTTCCCATATCAATTTATACTGTTATCGAATGCTCTTATTATGCTGTACTAAAAGGGAAAGTGCTGAAGACAGGTATGCATGCTGGTGGATTACATAACAATATGATATGGACAGCACAGAATGGTACCGATTGTTACACTTGGAGATAGAGACAGGACACAGAACCGGCCAGAACTGGTTTATTTGCCCAAATAAGGAGACCGATGGAAGACCTACAAAAGACAAAGAGAGAAAAACATCCGATGCATGGTCTTATCTGACTTGATTAACTACAGCACATGCACATAGCTCCTATTGGTGCAGAATCCTTGTTTGGAGCAGTCTTTACCAATCAGTGCTCAGAAGTGAACACCGCATGGCTGTGGAATGCCAAGGTACTGACCATCGAAGTGTGTAAAAAAAACTGTATTTAAGCTTTGAGCACTGAGGTGTTCCTCAGTGCAGTTCTGAATGTAACCATTGTTTTGCACTTTGCTGCAAGTAAAACCTTGAGATCTCATATTTGATTCTTTTTTTTTTATTATGTGATTCTTTGTGTGTTAGGAAACTGGGGTATGAACTGCATACAGTCCTATCTAACAGAAAAAGTTTCCTGACAGAAAACAATACTAAGTGAGTATGTAGGGTTTATGCAAAACCTTTAAAGGTAGTGGGTATTTTTTGGACGTATCAGCCTGGATGGAGGTGCACAGCTCACCAGTGGGCGCTGACAGTTGAATTACCCTGACAAGCTCAGACATGTCCATCCTCATGTGAATTCCATATCTTGACCAGTCAATCACTTGAATGCAAGCCTACATACATATAAGTATTATTTGGTCTTGTGAAAATGTTTGTCTGAGTTAAGTTAGCATTATATGAAAAAGTAATTTGGTACCAGCCTGCCTTTCAGGCAGGGAGGGGAAGCATCCTCAACCAAATAATTGCATACCATTAGGATATCCAAGAGGATGAGAATAAGTCAGTGCATCTAGCTCTCTCCCTCTCTCTCTTTCCTCTTTTTCACACACACAAACTCCCTCCCTCTGTGTTGTGTGTGTGCGTCTCTCTCTCTCTGCCCCCTCCCGTCTCCCCCTCTTAGTGCAGTGATGGCAGCTTTGGAGGAAGAGTCGACAGTATTCACAGAGGAGTAAGAACTAGTCGGGGATGGCGGACAAACCTCTGACGGTGTTCGTGAAGCTGTTCGCTGCTGCTTTTTACGGAGTCAGTTCGTTCCTCATCGTGGTGGTGAATAAGAGCGTCCTCACCAACTACAGGTAAAGCGTTTTCGCCGTCGCTCCCCACGATAACGGTGTCAGTAGAAAGGCTACGGAGCCGCGTTAGCATAGCTGAGCTGTGGAAGTTGAGTTGCGTGTATTAGCCGACGGACGCAGCCGACACTGCCCCCCTGTTAGCGGCAACTTTTGACTGCTGCCCTTCTTGTAGCATGTTAGCGGCTAATAACGATGAATGCTTACGGGTTGTCTTTAGCCAATTGCTGTTCATTCACTGACACTGACGGTGATTTTATCCTCTTCTTCAGGTTTCCATCTTCAATATGTGTCGGAATTGGACAAGTAAGTCGACATTGTTGACATAAGCAGGCATTAAATGTAAACACAGACCGGGTTTAATGAACGTCTATTTAACCGTGACTGTTGTATGTACAGATGTTGGCCACGCTGGTCGTACTGTGGGTGGGCAAGGCTGCTAAGGTGATCAGCTTCCCGGACTTTGATGAGAGTATACCTCGCAAGGTGAGACGAAGCATCAATAGGACACTGTCGTACCATTTCAAACTCCATTGTAACGACAAGGATGGTATTTTCAGCGGTAAAGTAACAATGATATATCAGAACAAGCAACAGCAGCAAGGGCTATCAAATAACTAGACCATGGACCAGAACTTGTTTTCCAAAGTAACTTTTTATGTATTTAAAATTACTTCTCTATTTAAACCATGACATCGTTGTACCAGTGTTGTAGAGTATAGAAACAGTAAACATGTTGTTCAAGAAAGTACTATAACACTAGTCTTGGTTCCTCACACCTAAGAGAACATGATGTCAGCTTTGTAGAAAATAATCCCAGAAATTCTTTAAATTACTCTCACTACACAGAGAGCACTGTTTTTCCCCCAACGTCTTACATATCTACCCTCTGTCTGCCTGTTATAATCATATTGCATATTTTTTCCAAAGCATTACTGCTGGAATCATGTGCATCTTCATACCTGGAATTTGTTTATATAAGTTTTGAATATATCCTAAAATGTTTTTGCAATGATAAGACAATATAATCAAGCTGAAACTGAAAATCGTCCTTCCTTGATGATCACAATGCTTTAATATCTTAACCTTGTTTTGCAGACATTTCCTCTACCTCTTCTCTATGTGGGAAATCAAATTACTGGTTTGTTTGGAACCAAAAGGCTTAAGTGAGTCTGCATTACCTCACTTTCATAGCTGCCTGATAAGTGACAGAATTTTGCCTTCTAATTCCATCGCGCTGTCTCCAGGCATGACATTTTGACATGTTTAAGGTCAAACTTTGAATATTTACTAATGAGGTGTATCTCATCTCTCTCCAGTCTGCCAATGTTTACTGTCCTCAGGAGGTTTTCCATTTTATTCACAATGCTGGCTGAAGGATTCCTGCTCAAGTAAGCTTGACCATAGTCAATAACACACATACTGTACTTAGTCCTTTTGTGGTGCATGTACTGTAATTAGAAAGCAATTTCAGTCTCAGAAAGCCAGGGCTTCTTCTGATAGCACATTGGTGGCTTTCACTTGCAGATCAGATTGAATTTAATTGCTCCACTGTCTTTGACCTGTGACAGGAAGAAATTCTCTAGGCCAATCCAGCTGACAGTATTTACAATGATCCTTGGGGCCTTTATAGCTGCAAGGTAAGTACTGCCTCACACAGGTGTTACAGCTGTTCACCACAGCACAATTACCTTTACTACAAAGGGTTTTCCTGTGATATATATGTCCACTTAAGTAATATAGTCCTCAGGGTCGTTAGATGCTAGTTGTACATCTGTGCTCACAGAGACTCAGCTGATTTAAGACTCAATTCTATTGTTTATTCTCATTTTTTCTCCAGTGCCGACTTGTCCTTTGACCTGGAAGGCTACGTGTTCATCCTCCTGAACGACGGGCTGACTGCAGCCAATGGAGCCTATGTGAAGCAAAAATTAGATGCAAAGGTATGTGGCAGCGCCGGCTAATGAATAGTTTTCATTGTTGAACACTAGCTGACTTTAGGTACTAGTGCAAATGTCACTTCAGTGTGACATTTGTTTTCCTCACCATATGTCATACAGTGACGTGTCCTACAGCAGTGTGACTGGTCTTTGTTTTTATTTAACGTTTCTTGATGACTGTTGGTTTTCCAAGTCAAAAACGGATGGAAGCTTGATTTAGTCAAACTGTGATGTCACATGAGCTCACTCTTCAGCTCTCACATTACAGCAGTGGCAGAACAGGGTCCAGATTTAGCCTGCGGTGTTATATGGTGTATAACACACCTTCCACTAGTCCAAGCTAACAGACGTGTGTTTGTGTGCTACATTGTGAGGAAATATTCCTCTCTCATTCTTTTTAATCTGTCGCTATGTCCACCCACTGAATGTACTATCTCTCCTTCTCTCCCTCTCACCTTTACAGGAGTTGGGAAAATATGGATTATTGTATTACAATGCATTATTTATGATCATTCCTACACTCATGTTGGCTCACGTGACCGGGGACATGCAAAAGGTAAAACAGCTATAAATTCTATGTTCAAAACAATCTTGCAACAACTGTAAAAGCTCATCTCTTCAGTGAACGACCTGGCATCGATAAGCGGAAAGTTAAAATCTAATATATGAAGTGAACACACTCGTACAGAGGCAGGGGCGTCAACCCTAAATATGAAGTGTCTGTTTGTTGTTCAGTATTGGCAGAGACTTTCTGGTTTGCCCAGCTGTATCCCAGTAGCCAGAAAGGCACAAAGCTGCTATTATGCACCTACCAGAGTTATTACAGCAGTGCCTACAGCTCCCCTCCACCCACTCATCACAGAGCTGATACAGACTAACATCTTGAAAACTTGGTGGAAATTCTTGGTGTGTCATTTTTTGTGAGCAACAGCTGTGTCTCCCAACTTCCTAAAATAACCTTCATAACTCATAACTCCTCAGTCCTGGCTTCAGAAGTAATTGAATTTTAAATAAATTGCTTAAAACTGCATATTCAAATGTTAACATATTAGATGGAGAGAGTTTAAAAACAAACACTGGGCATCATCCACTCTTAACATTTGTTAAGGTGTAGACATTAAAGGTACTTTAAAAGTGAAGAACGTCTCACCTACATAATAAAAATACTGTGCCTGGTGGTTCACACACATGATTTTTCTATGTAACTATGAAGAGTTTTATATACTAGACTTGTATAAGGGAAAACTCAGCAGGCAAATGAGTCCAGCTGATCACATGGTTCTAGTCAGGAAAATAACTGGGCAGTTAACAAGGTAAAAAACTAAATTTGCTCACATGAAATCTTTATCAAACACAGTTTTCCCTCCATCTACCGGCACAGCTGTAATTACTAACCTCTATTTATAGTTTAGGACATTGTTTTCACAGCAAGGTTTACAGTTACTGTAGAAGAATGTTGTTGTTTTTTAGTTATGAAAAATAAGTGATTTAGAAGATTAGATAACTTATGGATAATTATTGTTGTATATAAATGTAATTGTTGTTTATAAATCTAATCCTCCTTGAGTGTTTACCTCGGAACTTTGTTAGTTGGAGAAAAGGTTGTAAAATCTCAGGGAACTTTTCTTTAACTGGCTAAAAATAAACTCCCTGTTTTACTCGCATAAAAAGACAGTGCAAAATGTCTTTGCATTAAAACACATTTACATGTAACAATGTGTTTTCCTTATAATTACTCACATTTAATTTCCTTATTAACATTTCTTGTTTCCCACGCTTTCCTCCCCTCAGGCAATGGAATACGAAGGTTGGTCTGATGCAATTTTCCTCAGCCAGTTCATCCTATCATGTGTCATGGGGTAAGATAAGCTACATGTCAGCATATGAACGTCTTTGTTTTTGGCACACTCGGCAGTATTGTGTCCATTGCCAGAAATGAACATCTGGATTATACAAACTAGTTTCTCAGGAACTGCTCTTACATGTGAAACCTCAGCCAGTGTGTGAGCGTGAAGCTCAGTGTGACGATGATGCACTGGGTTGTAATGGCATTGTGAAATCTGATTTCATGCTCTGACAAGTGTTGATTTTTGGCTAATGTGATAGCGTCGGGTTGTTGCAGGTTTGTGCTGATGTATTCCACTGTGCTCTGCACTCAGTACAACTCTGCCCTTACAACCACCATTGTAGGATGCATCAAGGTAACACGCTCAATCAATTCAAAGTTGGTTATAAAAGTAAAACCAAAAAAGCACAGACAAACTTAAACTGTACCCATTCTCCTGTTCTGCAGAATGTCCTGGTGACATACATCGGCATGGTGTTTAGTGGAGACTATATCTTCTCTTGGACCAACTTCATCGGTTTGAATATCAGGTAAAATATATATAAATAAGATGGTTGCTTGCAAACCTGTTTCAAATATTCATAGCAAGTGCCATTTTCAACAACATTAGATATATTCCTGCCATCCTGGGCCCCAGGATGAAGGAGGCATATCAATGTAGTATTAGTCTCAATTAATACATTCATAATTTTACATCTTGTTGTTAGCCTGTCCCTAGCCATGTCCCTGGCATTTCTAAATGTACATTTTTTTCTAAAAAGTTGGTCTTGCCTTGTCATCAACGAACACTGTGTTTAGATTTTGGTGAGAGAAAAAAAACACCCAAAACTATTTTAGAACAAGTCTGTATTGGACCAAAGTGTGGAAAAGTGAAGGGCTGTATATATTTTCTGGTGGCACGTTATGTTTACCAGGTTATAATATATAGCATAATTACATGTTATTTTTTAGACTTCGCATCTAGTGCCATCGCATGGTGAAGCTTGGAATTGTACCAGTGTTTCTGATTCAAAGGCCTGATCCCTATGAGAGCGTGTGATATGTGATGGTCTCTGCTGCACTGTTAAATCATTATGATATATGATGAGGTTTTATATATGAAGCTTTTAACAAGACGTTCTGTCAGGAATCATATGGTCTAAAAATTTGTAGCTATATTGGGGTGGAAATAATTTACTTGACACTAGTTTTATTTGAAGGAAGAAAGGGTTTAAAAGCCAATACTTAAAAAACTTAACAGATAGTGTATCTTAACTTTCTGCTCTAAATTATTCTGTTCCTCGAACAAAAATGATAGAATCATCCTTATTTGTTGACGTACAAGTAAAGAGAAACTGATGTGCAGTCTTTCTTTTTTCCATGAGCTTAAAAATAGAATAGACACTCTAGGTAACAACAAGCCAAAACACAAATAAGAAAACAATAAAAACAATGCATATATATGTAAATATACACAGACGTACATATTTGTATATATGTAAGTATACATGTATGTGTTTGAGACCCCTGCTTTACACTGATGTTTTTGACTATAGTAATTGATGAAAAGTATAGGACACTGAGCAAATGCTCATTATTTATTTATTTTTTAAATGCAATGTTTTTATTTTAATAATTTATAGTGGAAAAAGCAACATTGTTAGGTATTTGGTGAACAAAGTTGAACCTACATTATCCATCTTCATCCTTCACTTGAAGACTAACTGAGCAGGGTCTAAGAAGGAGCTTCATTTGTACACAGGGTAGAGGTTGAGGTCAGGTCAGTGTGGAACCTCAGATTGATGTTCCTCATATCAGATACTTAGCGATAATGGTTGCACGTTGTTGTTTTGTTAAGTTCTCTCTCTGTCTCCTGTTGCAGTATTGCAGGCAGCCTAGTTTACTCCTACATCACCTTCACAGAGGAACAGTCCAGCAAAACAAGTGAAAACAACAAGCTGGACATCAAGGGGAAGGTGATCGTATGACCTACACTGGATTTCAATATTCTAATGCTGATAAACAGAACTTTTATTTATGGAGTGTTTTAGTAGCAGATTCAGGCAGATGACCAGGTTTTGTCGTAACTGTTGTCATTCTGCCGCTGCCATGGTTGTGAAACCTTCTGTATGGTTTGTAGGTCTTTTCTAACATGTTTTCTTTTATAATCCTTGTATTTTGATACAGTTTTATTATTATTGAGAATAAGAGGGACAGTGTCATTTCAATTTGTGACACTTCTGACGTAAAACAGCTTATGTTTGGTTATTGTACACAGTAAACCAGCTGTTCTTAGAACAGTTATGTTTTTTTAAGAATTATGAGTAGCTTCCTTCTAAAGGCACAAGCCGCCTTTTCAACGCTCTTGGTTGCTGTTTACAAGTAATTGTGGATGCCTTCTACACAGTGAGATGCACTGACACTGTTACTCTAGTCTTTCGTACATTTTCATGTCGATCTTTGCAGATACACTGTTGAATTCACATTGACTGACAGAGATTTAGCCTCTTCCTTGAAACAGCTAAAGTGGTGGGGTGGTCAGCTGTTTGATTCCAATTAAGGATTGTGACTTTAAACAATGTTACTGCCACCTGTTGGGCGTCAAGCTTATTAACAGTTTACATTTTGCCTTCTCAGATAAACAGAATGTTTGTTGTGGATACAGGGGCGTCTCTGTGCAGGTTAATCACAGCAGTAGAACCCTATTTTTGACACAATGTTCTCGCACTTTTACCTGAATTTCCTCGTCGTCTGTTACATTGTCTGTGTTGAATATGAGATTAGTGTGCATTGGTGATGTGTACATTTCAGGTCTGTAAAGATTACGAGGGAATGGGTTTTATAAAAAAGAAAAATATACAGGTACGATTTTTGAAAAAAGTTTTATCTAAATCATTTTTATATTTATTACTTTTTAGATTAATATTCTTTTTATAGATGTTGTTAGTTTGAGTTTAAGTGCTGATGCCAATTTCATCTGAAACACAGTAACACGGATTTGTAGCTAAAACACAATGGTGTATTTTTTACAATAAAAACCTGACACTATTTTTTGTAGTTTTTTCTTCCTACATTTTTAGGGACAATACTTTAAACTCGTAAATATTTGTCAATTACTGGATATATACATATATACAGTACATAAGTACTATAAAATTAATCTAGAAAACAATGTTGTATTGTAATTAAGAAAACCAGCAAAGACATTACAAAAATAGTTACATCGAGGGGAACTGGACAGAGTCGTTTTTATTTTTAAAGATGTTTCACCTCCCACCCAAGAGGCTTCTTCAGTTCTGACTGACCACTGAGAAATTCTGGTATTTAACCTCAACGGAGCTGCATACCCATAATGAGGGTCGTTGCAGAAAGGGGGAATGGAGGTAGATAGATAGATAGAACTTAATTACTCCCTCAGGAGTTTGGGAAATTAAGGTAGGGCCACACCCTATTCGGTCCACCACACCTCATTATGGGTATGCAGTCTCTTTGAGGCCAAATACCAGAACTTCCCAGTAGTCAGTCAGAACTGAAGAAGCCCCTTGGATGAGAGGTGAAACGTCTTCAAAAAAACCTACTCTGTCCAGTTGCCCTCGATGGAACTATTTTTGGATTAAATGACCTGGATGACTGAGAACCTACACAGACAAGAAAGACATTATTACACAAATCACCAATATTGACATTTAATAAACATAAAGCAAGGACTCAGCAATTTTTTAAGAGCTCAGAACAGTTATCTGTCTCACCAAAGAGTGACAATCATAAACATCTAGACAACAAAGAGAAAAATCACAAGTACGTACGAACTGTCGTGCCATGACCTGGTTTTAGGCAGCATACAAAAACAACAACCGGTAGAAATTAAAACAACAATTATTGCATTGTTGTAGCTTGTTAGCGGTGAGCACCTTTACCACTCCGGTGTGCACAAGAAGAAAGATAAGAGTTTCATCATCCACACTCTGCTCTGTACAAATGTCCTGTTGGCATCAACAGCTAATGTTTCCCTTGTGTTGGCCAACTAAAACAGGGAGTGACAGCAGAAAAATCAGCAACGAGGTGGAGTCGGTGGATGAAAAAAGTAACAGGATTCGACATGAAACACAGACATGACGGCAGATTCAATTACGATTTTCCGTAGCTCAAAGTAAAGGGTAGAAGTGAAGAAAGAACAAATTTTAATCAGAGCCCATGGTGTTGAATTCATCATCATCACAGCCAAACAACAAATGAGCTTTGCTTCAAATTCTTCATCAATAAATATCAACATTTTTTCTCTGGATTTGAGGAAGGGCCTGAAATCAAAATTAGTGAACAAAGACAACCACGTCATTCAGATCATCAATACCACAAAGAAAAGCGTCACTGTCTGCTTCTTGCCGATGCGTACTTACACACTTTTGTACGGTAAAAGGTTACAGGTTCTACTGCTCATGGTGGGCATAGAAATAATCTTAGACGTTACCATCATGTGAACCAGGGATCTCACAATATTAAAATTTAAAACCACTTTATCTTTGGATACAGCATCAATTTTTAAAGGAGGACACAGTAATGTACACAATACTGCTACACGTTAGAATAGCTACAACACCCCCTACCACTGTATTGCAGGGCACGCCCCCCCGAAAGACAAGTTAAATTCATTTATATCACCAAATCACAACAGCCGTTTCAAGTTACTTTTACTGTAGAACACGCCTGGACCATATTCTTTTAATAAATAATGTTACTGATTTAACTGGCAGAGCTCACACAAACAAACAAACACACAAAGAGGACAATATGTCGTGTCGATCCACACTGCCTGAAAAACAGGCGAAAATAGCCATGTTTTTGAAGCACATTAAAGTGATTCTGGCGAGGCCACGGTTATCTGTGCTACTTGTAGTAGCCAGAATAGCTCTGCCGCCACTGGTTTACGTACGCCACTGCCGTAAACCCAGGGGGAAACACTGTAATTTCACTATCGACTTTTAGCGTCAGAATCAGTATTTCCTAATATTTAATATCATACACAACTAAATTGGGAAGAACATTTAAGAAGCTATTGTCCATCCTGTAATTCACTCTTGCAAGGCACCATTAGGATGAATGCCAGAACCCTTCTTCATAGCAGCAAGTCAGGGGAGAAACGTTAGCACAAATCATCATTCTGAAAAGTCACAGCTAACGTGAGCTAATCCTGAACAACCTGTGAGGTGACACACACTGTGTATAATTTACACTCCACCCAAACAGGGAGAGCAGGACTGTGCACCTGGGTGCAGGTTCCTCAGGGAAACCAAAGCAACACATGTTGTTGCTTCACAAACAAACAATGCAGCTTTAAATGTTTCCTCTAAAGTTTTGATAAAACATTCAGTAACGTTGGTTGAAAAATCAATTTGGCAAAAGTGAAAAGAAACGACGAAGCACCAGAATGACACAGTCCAAGTACACACTGGCATCAACACTACAAACACATCTCTGTCTGGACCTGAGAACTTTAAATGTTGATCATTTGACTGATGGAACAAGTAAAGAAAGACACAGAATAGTAAATATCACTTACTGCGTGACCTTAAAAAGGGGGGGAGTTGTTGTTTTTCCCTCAGTCCAGCTGATGTGTGCCAGCTTCTACAGAGTGACCAGGTTTTCAGCCATGTAACACAGGCTGTAAAAGTTACAGCCGATGCAGCACAGGTTACAGAGGGAGGACAGCAGTCTGTAGAGCCACAGACGGCTGCTCAGCTGTCTGTATTTGGCGTCCGTCTCACACAGCTTGGCGTACGCTTCGCGGTTGGACGACTGGCCGATGTCCTGACCCAGACCGCACGCCTGCTCGATGAGGTGCATGTCGGCCATGATGTCCGAGGCTATCTGACCAAACCACTGAGCGTTGACTGCTGCCACCATTACTGACACGAAGAAGATGAAGATCTGGGGAGGGAGAGGAGCACAGAAGGTGAGGGGAGGTTGGTTTGGGTCTATTTACACATCATCACAGAGGGATACATACAATATTACAGTCAGTGGGTATGTTAAAGGGTCAAACCAAGGAATCTAGCTAAAGATTGACATGATATGGACCAGATAACCATCAAACAGAAATATGAACCAGCTTCATTCTTCAGCACAAGAAACCAGGGTTCAAATCCCTGACACCAGAACAATAACTTTGGTCATTTTAGTTTGTTTTTTACTAGTTTTTGGAGAAAATAATAGTATACTATATATTTAAAATAAACACTAAACACAGAAAAAAAGTAGGAAAATGCATTCAACATAGCCACATCCTGTCAATGCTAAACAACAGTTCTGTAAAAAACACTGAAACACTGTAAAAAAACAAACAAAAAAAATAGATGTTTCATAAGACCTAGAAAAATAAAAAGAGAGAGACTGGAAGAATGTCTACACCTGAAAGGCCTCTCTCTCATCCAGCAGCTCAGAGGGATGATACACAGCATAGATGGTGAGGTTGAAGAACGCACAAGCTGAACCCAGGTGGAGGTAAAATGGCACAAGACGACTCTGAATGAATCCATACGTGTGTCTACTCAGGTGGTTGTCCATGACAAAGCCTGCACAGAAATCAGAGAAACTGACTCCACGGAGAACCTCAGTTATTTCATGGGTCATGGTCTAATACTTCTAATAATGTATACTCAAACTTAGTCACTGAGAAAATTAAATCTTTACACATCCCATACATTTAGATGTTTTAGGACCATACAGGAACTCAGAATTGCATTCAATTGCATTCAAATCAATAAGAGTAGGCTAAACACAACTGTACTTCTGTCTCACAAAATGTTACAGGGTATGACTATACACAATATTGGGTTTACAAGATGGCATACTAAACCTAGATATAACATTAATATTTATATTAAATGCATTTCATGTCTAAAATCTATTAAACACCATGTCACCGTTCACTTGAGCCTAATTTAATTTCCTGAAAACGTCACTTCTAGTTTTAAGCACCAATTAATCTGCAGTACTTTCACTTCTTCTGTTCTTAAACAATTATGTCTACAGTTTATTGTTTATGGATGTAAAGGCAATTGTAACATATTCCACATTGTAGTGTGATCAAACTCCACATTGACCAAACCCATAATCTGATGTGTTTAAAAGAACCCACTTGAAATAAAGGTGACCCAGATTTGCATTCCCCAGTAGGTAGAGAGCAGCAGCAGCTGCAGCAGCTTCACAGTGAACGTGGGCTCCTGGTCGGTGGCCATGATGTTCAGTGCTCAGCCCTAGTCCCCTCTGGTCCGGACAGGACAGGCTGTAGTCTGCAGAGACGGCAGAGTCTGGACAGACCTTGAAAGGTTTTCCTTCCTCCTTGCTCTGACTCTATTTCAGTACGATCTGCAAACAGTCCACATGCCACAGTGGGGGTGTGGCATCGAGCACATTGTAACTTTACAGTGATGTAAGTGTTGCCTGATGAAGCACTAGTGTGGTACTTTTTTTCACCCTGTGGATTAGACAGACTGGTTTGCAGACATGACAGCATCATTTTGACAGGGGTTAACTGTGTCTGTCACTTTAAATGAATACAACCTGAATGATGGCAAGAATATGGAATCCTAGGCAGCTAAAACTGAAGCTGGTGGTTACTGTACACTATATAGTAATATTTAAAGCAATATATAGTAAATAAAATATAAAATAGATATACCATTCCCACTACTCGGTAAAGGTATTCACAGGACTATCAATGGTTATATATACACATTTGACTTCCAAATCTTTTCCTGCTTCAAGTGATAGCTGGTACAGCATATTGTTAGACAGAACGGTTCTGGTCAGGTCTTAGAAACAGAAATTCTGTTGCAGAGTTGGTTACTATCTGTGACATAAGCAGTGCTGTTACTTGAAGGTTATGGAGTAGCTTCTGAGAGTTCACATTACTCTCTTGACCTAACATGGCACAGATAGTAAATCATTAGTCATGTCTGTACAATTCTAACCATAAAGGTAAGGGATCTTACAGTAGTCCTCTGCAGTTGTAAAATGTATTTGAATTAAAATAGTGCTATTGTTTTTGGGCATTACAGAATAAAAAATCCAACTTTATAAATATTTACAAAGATGGTACTAGTTACACTACCCACTTAACCTTATATATGAATAAGCACCAACAGTAACAGTACTGTTGGATCTTATTCATTTGCAGTTAAAAAAGTTTAAAACTTGGAATCATGTTACCAATAATAGTGATCATACTGTAACCTATTGGCCCACTTCCGGTATAGTTCTAGGGGGGCCTCGTTCCTTGCAACCAGAAGATGAATATAAACTATTTTACAAACAGCATGGTCGCCACCTGGTTTTTGCAGAGTGAATCATAGTAGAATAAAGTGGTTTAACCGCCAGGGCGGGTAAGCCGTGTTTAGATAGCACATTTATAATAATAAACTTCGCAGTGTCGTCAAGGAAACTGATTCGCTGTGTGGACTGTGGACCTTTCACCTACTGGACATATCTGTCTGTCAGAAAACTTTATACCAGCACAGTGTACAGCTTATGTACTGTTGGTTTATGCTAGTTGTAATCGCTAAAGCTAACAAAGTCGTACACATTTTAACAGGTATTTCTCTCCAAACAAACTAACAAACCTTCAAAGTCACCTTCTCAGTGACTTATTTACAATATACCCACGGAACCAGGTGCTAACACTTAGCACAACTTCACGTAGAGTTCGGCCCGTTAAAAAGACTAAACTGTTGACACCTTTTCTGTTCAAAACTAACGCCTTAGAACAGTGGTTGTTGTAACAGCCAGAATCACTGGTTCAACTTACGTGGTGCCGGAAAAACAAGGCTGATGCTGTATGGGTGAACCGGGCAGGCATGCGGAGAGTAGACGGTAGCACTGAGTTGTAAAGTCTGGTAGAAGGAGGAGAAAGAGAAGGCGGAACTGCAAAGTCAGAATGTGTACTTACCTCGCTTCCTACTCTCCAGGTACGACCGGCTGTACGACCTGAGGACAAGCACATAGTACTTTTGAATGTAATAATGATTAGCTTGCAGTCAGTTGATAACAAATAGTGTCAGTTACAGAAGGTAATGTGAACTAGTGGTAATACTGACGTGTTCCCATGGCTCATAAGTATCACACATTAATTATATTGCAAGAATAGAATGAATATTACAATATTCAGTTAATATTCCGTCTTTTCTTGCCGAGAAAAGAAAAGATGTAATTGAGATGTTAATATAAATCCGGTTATCTCCTTTTTAGCTAGCAATACCGTGCCCTCTGAAGTCTGCCATCTTGTGGCAATCAGAACAGTACAAACAGACTGTCACAAAGCAAAATAGCTTTGACCAATCAACTCAGAAGTGTAATCCAACCTAAAAGAGATCGAATCAAGGAAAGAGAGTGTACAGGACTGGTATACAGCACAGCTGTATGGCTCCTGTGTTAAAGGTAAAGTTGACCAAAATCTCTAAAGTTGACTCTGACTTATACTTCCTGTATGTTTAATAAAAAAACATATTTTAGGGTAAAAGTGTTGGTTAATTAATTTAATAAAAGTACAGTTTTTGTTATAATAGTAAGTGCCTCATTTTCAGGGGTGCCAAAGATGGACAAAGCCTATAAATATGTACAGTCTGTACAACATATTTAGTAAGAATAAGTTAGTCAAAAGCAACAGTACATATGCTAAAACGTGTTTCTTGGACCAAGGAAGGTTTAGTTACTGATTAAGCAGGATTTTTGGGCTGAAAGCCAACTCTTATAAGGTCAGCTATATTTATACACTCCTAAGCAACGACTTATTCACTAACAGAAATAAAAAGAAAATGACTGATCTACTTTAACGGTCCACTTTGTTACAGTTAGAAGATTTTATATACATAAATACCATAGGGTGATATTTGCATTTTTTATAAAGTCAGTAGGATTGCCAATCACAGCTATGAGAAAATTAAAGTGCAGATTTTAAGTTTACTAGAGAAGGATAAAATATTAATATATATATAAAAGAATGCCATCTTTATAAATGGCTCATATGTACAAAAACAATAGGAACTGATATCTGACATTATAAAATAGTGCTGTAGTAGTCTGTGTGACATTGAATGAATGGCACCTGACATTAAATGTTCAGTACTTAGGAGTTTAAAGAGAAAAAACTGTATAAGCAAATCAGTGATAATAATAAAGACATTGAAACAAGTGTGCTTTTATTAAGTATGTTAAACCTTAAATGTTACACATGGACCTTCAAATAGAAAATATCCACCCAAAAATGTTATATATATGGTTCTCTTTTTAAAAATGTCCCAAAACTATCATTTTGCAACTCAGAACGACTCCAGGTTTGAGTTCAGTCAGTGTCGAGCTGATTTACAGATTTTGTCGTAATTCTCTGGAAAGGCATCCCTACAGTCAAGTTCTGTCCTCAGTTTGTGATAGAGCCGACCATCAAACATGGCCCAAAACTCATCTCTGTCCATGTATACATCTGCATACAGCATCTGGAACCTATGGAGACAGAGAGACAGACAGTAGGTTATTACTGTAGTGACTGCAGAACAGATGCAATGTACAGACTGTCATGTCAGTCAAGATTTGACACTCACCCATGAACGTCTCTCACAAACTTCTCCAGCTGACGTGTTGATGCTTTAGCTTCAAAGTGTTTGACCTTTGGTTCGCCATAAGCACCAATGTCTACATACAGCTCCTCTTCCTCACCTTTAGGATGAACCATCCCTCTGCCTGGGGGCA